AGGCATTTGGGCTGTTTCCATATATCTTATCTATTATAAATAGTGCTGCAATAAACATAGGTTTGCAGGTATCTTTTTGAATTAGTGCTTTTGTGTCCTTTGGGTAGATCCCTAAGAGTGTAATTGCTTGGTCATATGGTAGCTCCATTTTTAGTAGACTGAGGAATCTCCAGTTTTCCATAGTAGTTGGACCAGTTTGCATTCCCACCAGCAGTGCAAAGTTCCTTTTTCCCCACATCCTTGCCATTTGTTGTTGCCATTTTTTTTAATATGTGCCATTCTCATTGCTGTAAGATGGTATCTCATTGTGGTTTTGATTTGCATTTCCCTGATTAGAAGTGATGGTGAACATTTTTTCATATACCTGTTAATCATTTGCATTTCCTCTTTGGAGAAGTATCTTTTGAGCTCTTCTGCCCATTTTTTGACTGGATTGTTTACTTTATTTTTGTTGAGTCATGTGTCCTCACACATTTCTAAAGATGATAATTGTTATTTTGCATTTGTGCTTTTAATTCCTTAGCCTTGTAAATAAATATGCAGGGAGGCAGACAGAGATATACGCTTGATCAATATTGCATAGTTTTGCTTGCTCTTAGTCCTTATAAAAATGGTACTGCACACATATATTTTCCTATGTTGTTTTTGTCTCTCACTAATGTTATGAAGATTCAATAAGTTTGTCAACTGTAATCAGGGTTCACTTTTTTTTATTGGTCTGTAACATTCTGTGGTGTGGATATACCATAATTTATGTTCACCTGCTCCTACAAATGGACACTGATAGTGTTCCCACTTTTTGTTATAATAAACAGTGCTTACATAGACATCCTTGTACAAGACTGGGTCTCATGTACAAGAGTTCCAACAGGCTCTATTCCTAGGAGATAAAGTATGCCAATCAACAGGCTCTATTCCTAGGAGCTAAAGTATGCCAGTGTTCACACAGTCTAAATAATCTCAAGTTGTTTTCCAAGTGGTTGTACCAATACATACTCCCTCACTCCCAATAATGGATCAATTTCCATAATGCTTGGTAATTTCAAATATTGTAAATTGTACCAATGAAATGTCTGTAAAAATTCTTAGTTTGGTTTTGGTTTTCATTTTTCTGCTTAATAAGGACATTAAGGATCACTTCATATATTTATAGGCTAAAAGCTTTTCTTCTTTTCAGAACTGGAAGTTACGTCTTTTGCCATTTTTCTATTGAATTACTTGAATATTTCTTCTGGATCTGTAGTTCTTTATCCTTTATTCTAATCCTTTGTCAATACACCATATCCCAGTTTGTAACTTGTCTTTTCACTTTTCTTAAAGGTTTATTTAGACGACAAAGTTAATGTTAATGAAATCAGATATACCTGTGTTTTTTTGATAAATACATGTTGAGAGGGAAAGACTTCCCTACTCCAAGGATAGAAATGATATATAGATAGATAGATGATAGATAGATAGATAGATAGATAGATAGATAGATAGATAGATACACAAACTTAGTTTTTTACTTCTACAATTATAGTTTTAAATTTTAGAATTTTCACTTTTGTTTTTAAACCCAGTTCTACCAAGCTGTGAGCCTTACAAAGGTAGGGACTGAGCTGTTGACTTTATTTATGGGTCCTCCATATCCAGTTTAGGGCCAGACATCTTAAGATTCTCATGAGTGTCACAATCATTGAGTTGACTCAAATCCCAAGGTTTTCCTGACCACTCACTCATTGTTAACAATCAGGTTGTAAAGAATTCCTTTGCTATCATCACTGCCAAACTTCGGGATACACCAGGATGGAAGGAGAGTGTTTTGGAAAACGAGGACAGAAGTCTGCGACTGTCTAGATGGAGCACATTTATTTCCAGACATTTGGACCCCAAAGAATTATATATGGCCTGGGACAGGGTAGCTGTCTGGGGCCCACTGAAAACTGGGTTGGCATTTTGAGGGTGGCAGAGGTCAAGAATTTAAGAAGATTCTTGGGCCTCCCCGGTGGTGCAGCGGTTGAGCGCTGGGTTGCGAAGCTCCCCGCGACCTCCACGGCGCTGGTTCAATCCCCGGCTGCTCCCCGGCCACCGGAGGACAGTCCCACATGGCGCGCAGACCTCTCCTGCCGCCCGCTGCTCCCCTCAGCAGTGTGCTTCGGTCCTTCTGCCTGCTCTGCTCCCCGCTCTGGCTCTGGTGAATTCTCTCACCCTCCCGTGCTTCTGACTGTACCCAGTGCATGTATAAACAAACAAACAAATAAATAAATAAATAAAATACGTGCCTCTTTAAAAAAAAAAAAAAAAAGATTCCCACTTGCTAATGGATGGGAAGTAGGAGATCTGGGTTAGCTTATGTGAAGAGCACTGCGAGAGCGATTCTCCTCTAGATGTCACATCATAGCTCTAGATATCACCTCATGGCTTAGACATCATGCCATGTTATAGATGCCATATTCTGCCTCAACATATCACTTCAGGGTTATCTGGATATACCAATGAGCAGAGGACTCAAAATCTTCATATTCCATAGCACAAGGCTCTGGAGTCCTTTGAGAAGGAGTGTCTGATGTAAGGTAAAATGAGGCAAAGAAAGAAAAATGAGCCAAAAAAAAGCTGAAGGTGATCACTTTTAGTGTTTAAAACTTTAGTGTTTAAAACTTTCAAATACTTTATTCCATTTCTCATTCCACTCACCACAATTTTGCCACAAAACCTGCTTATTTCTGTTGAACTTTCTCAGATAGCAGGAATATGACAGTAATCCTTGAAATTTTTCAATTATGTTACTCATTTACCTAAAACGTTAATCACTGTAGTTCTTATCTACCATGGAATGGAGGTGTGGGTTCAATGTAGTGGCTATTTGGAACTCCTTAAAAAGCAGATAGATGGAATACTGCTTGTGATACAGGGCAGCAAGTGGCACTAAAACTGGCCAAGGTCACTGCCCAAATACTTTACCCATCATTATCAGAGTTCTTCAACCACAAGCACAATTGCAATGCTACTCAGGTTCAGAGAACAACAACAAGGGGATTTATTTAACAAACCAGGGAAAACAAAGAGTTGCTGAGGCTACAAATGGCAGTTTATCTCACCTGAAACAGTGTCCAGTGTTCTAAAGTCCTATACACAAAGGCTCCCAAGATGGCATCTTCCTGCCACTGAGGTTCTGGAGCATGCAGCAGCCAGACTATAGGCTGGGTTCCAACTCACAAAGATAGTAGAAGACACAACAAGAGATGCTCAAGGAGCTGCTGAGATGCTCCAGCACAGCACCAGACAATCAGTACTCAAAACAGAAGCTGCAGTAGCTGAACAACCCAACAAATGGCCACACCCACACAACTCAGCAAAGTGCTGGGCTCCAGGTCTTCACGTTCCCAGCCAGGCTGTAACAGCAGCAAAGCTGGCAACAGTTTCAGTTGCTTGGCTACCTACAAAGTCTCCAAATTTTTCTTCTCTGAAGTTGGCTGCTGGAAGCCTCTCCATGTCCTTCAGAAGTCCACAAAAGCTTTTAGAAGATCGGCAATGCGGGGGCAGAAATGGCTGACTGTAGAATTCCTGAAGATCTAAAACTCTTAAATCCTGAATGCTAAATTCTGGGGGCTGCTTCTGAAGTCCCTTATATTTCTTATTAGAGTCTCCACCCCATGGATACATTGTTCACATTTCCCCTGGGCCTATCTAGCCTCACCAGCACCCCCCTCCAGGGAGGGCCACCTGTAACAATCTTTGGCTTCTGCCACAGTTACACTTGCAGGGAGAGCATGACTTTCTGGGATAGAGAGAATGGGGGGTGGGGAGGGATAGAAAGAGAAACAAAGTGGAACTTGTTTTTATAAATCTTATCAAAGCCGTGTATAAATGGGAATATTGAATGTACCACGTTGTGATGAGCTGTAAAAAAGAACAAAAGTGAAGTGAATTTACACCAGAGGCTTTAGCAGGTGGGAAGTGCAAACAAGACAAGATGTGATTGGAGGAAAAGAGATGAAAGATAGACTGAAGGAAGAAAAACAATCTCTGAAAACAGACGGTTATTAGTTCAGTTGGGAGAGAGAAGAGTTGGAACCACAGTATGTGCCATCTACCTGGGGTGGATAATGCTAGGGTGAGGATTGGAGCCAACCTTGATTGGGGATCCAGTTCAAGGGAGCAATATATCACAAGCTTAAGTAAATCAAACTAGCAGTTGCAGGTGACGCTTTACCTAAGACAAGGATAAAATTCCCAGATAGAGTTTCCATATGATGCAGCAATTCCACTCGTAGGTATTTACCCAAAGGACACAGAAACATTAATTCCAAAGAGCACCTGCACCCCTATGTTTATAGCAGCGCTATTTACAATAGCTAAGCTTTGGAAACAACCCAAATGCCCAAAAATAGATGACTGGATCAAGAAGATGTGGTACATATACACCATGGAATATTACTCAGCAATCAAAAAAGATAAACACATGCAATTTGCAGCAACATGGCTGGAGCTGGAAGGGATCATGCTCAGTGAAATAAGCCAGAAAGAAAAAGAAAAATACTGGATCGTCTTACTCATAACAGGAATCTAGAAAACCTAAATAAGGGACCAGGAAAAAGAATAACTATAAGAAAGAAAAACAACAAACAAACAAACAAAAATCAACAAACAACTATGAACCAGAGACACTAGGGCGGGGAGGTGAAGGAGGTTTTGGGGTCAAAATAAGGGGGTCGCAATTGTATGGGGAATATAAAAATAAAATTTAAAAAAATTCCCAGGTACGGAAATGTAGCATTCTATATAGGGTATCAGAAACTCAATTTTTTTGATTTATCTATAAGTAAGGAATCTGAAGTTTGAAATAAACCAAAATCCACAGTCTATGCAAATGAAAATCCCACTACTTGGCAATTCTCCCACTTGTCAGTAGAGGGCATCCTTGCCCAGTGAAGACGAAATTCAGATGGGACACTGGCTCCACAAGTGAAGAATCAAAACAGTGAGTTACAGATGAAATTTACTTTTATTTTTTTACATTGTACAAGAGCTATATAATGAACCTGCATTACCTATATGATCGTTTAAAAAGGGTTAATTGAAAATAAGATATTCTGAAACTTTCTGTCAAATGGTACAGAAAATCCTTATCATATGGCATAATATTAATTGTTCTATTATCTCAGTGGGAGGCGTATCATTCTTCTTGGTATTAGTCTTTCAACTTCTCTATGGATTTGAAAATTTTCATAAAAACTTGGAAATATTGTCAATATAAACTTGAAAAAAGTTTTGGGAAAAAGGATATTCAGATCCGTTAATTCAAGGACCATTTTAATTAAATAATCGAACAAGTCTTCTGGATAACAATATCCTTAATCCCTTAAATGTTTGAAGTATGTTTCTCAAAATATTTGTTGGAACATTACCTTCTGGTTACATATAATCTTCTAATATTGCAATGACAGAACATAGGGCCTAAGAGTACAAGTTACTAAGAAATTAGCCCAAAGCTTAGCAGCTTAGAACAATCATTTGCTTTTGGCTGCTGGATCTGCAGAAGTAGCCCCCAGAATTTAGCATTCAGGATTTCAGAGTTTTCAGATCTCCAGGAATTCTACAGTCAGCCATTTCTGCCCCCGCATTGCCGATCTTTTAAAAGCTTTTGTGGGCTTCTGAAGGACATGGAGAGGCTTCCAGCAGCCAACTTCAGAGAAGAAAAATTTGGAGACTTTGTAGGTAGCCAAAAGCAAGCTGAAGGGCTCAACTTGGCAGTTGTGGCTGGGATGTCCCATGCAGCTTCAGTTGATAGGGGCAGCAAGGGCAGCAGTGGTCCAGAGAGTTTCCCTAGGCAGGTATGAAGGCAGCTCGCTCACTTGGCTGTGGTCTCTCCAGCAAGGCAATCATGGAGTGGTGAGACGTCTTATGTGGCAACCCCATGCAGCTCAAGGCTCCAGCATGAGCTTTCCAGCAAATGAGGCAGAAGCTGCCTCCTCTGTCATGACCTGACGTCACTCCCCCTGCAAGACCTCAGGTGAGACCCAGGCAGCTGATCCCACGATGTCCTGCTCCTTGGGGAAGGCATTGAGGGTCCTAGTGTGGTTTGATCACCACTTGCCTACCTGGTTTGGGGCCCAAGGAACTTCTTTGTTTCCTAAATAGAAGCTTCAGAAAGCTTCTGAGTAAAGGCTTTGACAGGATTTTCCCTATAGTAAATACCTAGAGAAGACTCGCTCTTCTTGCATGTAATGAGAAGCTTTTGCTGAAACACCTGAGTGGTGTCCATTTCCCAGTCTCCCCTGCATCTAGGAAAACAGCTAAGTTCCAGTAAGTGGGTAGGAAGAGAAGGTGAGATGTACTAATTTTATTAGTACATCTTATTCTGGTTTGTTCTCGCCTTCTTTTTCCCTCCTCCCTGGTGTTCGGCCAGTGAACTGGGAGCTGTATGTTGAAGGTGGTGAAATACAAGACCATCAAATGGGAGACAGAGTCCCTGGTGAGTGTGAATCTGCAACAACAGCTCCAAACCACCCACCACCCACGTGGATGAGAAATGAACCATCTTGTTTAAGTCACAATCACTTTCTCTGGGTTACAGCTGCCAGACTGATACCCGCCCAGATAAATGTGCTCTGCTTTTAATATAGGTGTGTGGCTTAGGCATGCCAATCCCTTCTCCTTCTCTTAGAAAGAACAATTGCAATAATAATGCTAAGGGAACTCAATCAGAAGGTGCTGGCCCCATGTCATTTCCTGGAAGCTACCCTGTAAAGAATGAAACCAGTGGGCAGAGGGTCCAGGCTGGACATCGGGTCTATAACCCTGAAAATATTCAAGAAGAAAAAATAATGTGCTCCCTTGTCCATCAGTATCCTGGGGCCATGTGACCCTTATGAACTTTAGCTGTCATGTGTGACCTTGAGAAAGCCTGTCCCCCTTGAGTGCAGCGGGGTATGCTTCTCACATAATCTACTAGGTAGTCTTAAATTTCTGCCCCTAATGCAATCCTAATGCACTCCTTAAAACCTCCCCATCAGCCTGCCCACTCCAAATCCTGTTGCTGTAAACAAGGGCAGTCCTCCAGGCCGGGCATATGGCCTGGGTCTCTGGTTTGCCGTACAACCACCAGCTTCTTCTTTAGTAAAAGGAATGGTAACTGAGCAGTTACTTACTATCCCAGCCTCTCTTTCGGTGGGTGTGTCTGCATGATTCAGTTCTGACCAGGCAGTTGTAATCAGATTCCGTTTCTCAGCTTCCAAGAAAGGAGTGCTGGAAGCTGCTTCTGCCTCTTGCCCTTCTTTCCCCATTTTTCCTGCCTAAGATGTGAACGTGTGGTTGAAGCTCCTGCAGCCAAGAGTGACATTTACGAATGAAGCCTCGTGCGGAGCAGGATGAGGCAGAGATGGAGGTGTCTGGGGCCCTAATGTCATTGGAAACTAGTAAGTTGGGTTTTCTGCTGTAGGCAGCTGAATCTGATCCAGCACACTGTCTTTTCATTTTAGTAAGGGCCTCAGGACTGCCCAGGCCCCTTTCTCTCTGTATCTATACCTGCACAACTCTGCTCCCTCCAGATACATGGGGAGAGGAGAGTGGTGTGGGATTAAAGGTAAACACCCAGAGAAAGAAAGCAAGGAAACTAAGAGTTCTCTAGGATTGGGCTTTTGCTTTCACAAATACCCATTTTCACAAAGGAGCTGCTATTGTCCCTGCCTCACAGGAAGAGTCTCTGGAAGAATAAATTGCAGGTCCAGAATTAGACTCAGGGAGGGGTACCAAGACTCAGATCCCACTCAGGTACATCACACAATAGGACCTCAGGGACAAGGTCTGGTCTATGTGCCTTAAGGTGATACCTGTCCCCTGACCAGTAAATACTCTGACCTCTCCATCAAGTGTAAACTCCCTGTGGCTCACCCAGGTTATGCTAAGAGTGGGTGGGAGAACAGATGGAGGTTTAAGGGCCTTTCTGGAGGCAAGTCACTGACCTTTACAGGATTGTCAGGAAGTCTGAAATCCCCCAAGAAAGAGAGTAGGACTCTTTTCAGGAAAATAGTGCTGAGAGCATAGGAAGCCCCTGTTCCTTCAAAAGCCCAAGCCACACCAAAAGCATTGAAGGCCAAGAAAGCCATGCTGAAAGGCGTCCACCTTCCAACCACCCAAGACACTGTGGCTCCTGTGGCTCCGAAGGCAACCCAGATATCCTCAGAAGAGTGACCCCAGGAGACAAACGTGAGCACTCTGCCATCATCAAGTTCTCCCTGACCCCTGAGTCAACTCACATTCATTGCTGATGTCAAGGCAACAAGCACTGGATGGAACAGGCTGTGAGGACAATCTATGGCATTGACAGGGCCAAAGTCCACACTCTGACCAAACCTGATGGAGAGAAGAGGTAATTGTTCCACTGACACCTGACTATATGATACTTGGATGTTGCCAACAAAATTGACGTCATCTAAACTGAGTCCAGCTGGTTAATCTAATTTTTTTTCCATTTTAAAAGAGAGAGTGGGTAATCAATTAAAACTACACTGAAGATGAATATTTGCCATGGAATGATTTCCTGCCAAATGAAAAAAGTAGGTTATAAAAAAATAGATAGGGCAAATATAAATGTTTCACTCATATAAAACTATGTATATAATTTTATGAGCTTTATTAATGAATGCTTTATCTATTTATTTATATATATATATGAGAAAGAAGCCTGATAGGTATAAACAGAGTGGAGGGTGAATGCGACAGAGTGAATGTTTTTATTATATTATCTACTTTCTGCTTTTCTAGATTGAACATGTATTACTTTTGTACTATGAAGCCTTTAAAATGAAAGTGTTTAATACTTTGTATCTAGCACTCTATGGCCCTACTGGCCCTTCAGCTCTTGCTCTGTGCTCAGCAAACAGGGCAGGAGTTAAAGGGGTCAGCTGAAGACTGGCAGGTGGGGAGGGAAGTGGGGGAGATGGCCACAGACTCCACCTAGCATACATGTTTACACTGAGGGCAACTCACCCCACAAATGAGATCACCACCAAAATGACCCAGATTAACAAGGAGGCAGATGGCCTGGAGATCCATGGAGGAAAGACTAGGAAAAGGAAGGTGGAAACTGAGGTTCTCAGAAACCAGGAGATGAGAATGGCAGGAAGTGGGGTAGGAAGGGCTGTGGGTCACGGGTAGAGGCAGAAGCACCAAGGTCAAGGCCGGAGAGTGTTGGGTAGGCCCAAACCACTGTTAGGCACACCTGGTTCCTGCCAAGGATCCTGTGGGCAGCTGAGACTCACTTGCCAAGCACACAGACCCTCCTCCATCTGTAGGATTTGCAACCTGAGAGTCATAGGCATTTCAGTGAGGCTCACCTGACCTGGAGCTGGCATCAGCTAGGTAAACTCGGAAATTATCTTTAAATCTCTGAATTCAAGGTTAGAGGATGCTGTGCTGTGTAGTGACAGGGTGCTTTTCTATTTGGTATTTCTGTTCCTTTGTTATCCACATGAGCACCATGGTTCCTAGGGGGTAGCTGTCATGCCCCTATGAACCACACCTGAGGATGTCTTGATATAGAGAATGTGGTCTCTCTGGGGAGGCCACATCAAAAGGAAGAGAAATTGGACACCAGGAGTTTCCTGAAAGTGCTCCTCACTTCAGGAGACAACGGAGGAACCAGGCTGTATCTTCTAGGGCAGCCTCACTATACCCGAGGCACTGCAGTGTGGACTGCAGGGCAAGGCTGGTATTTTTTCCCAACTGCTGCATAAGCAAAAGGAACAGTTAGAAAAATGTAGTGGGTTTACCCACCCTTGCCAAAAGTTGATGCTTATGACAGCCCCCCGCTTGGGTGCCAGCCAGGTTAAATGGTCTAATCAGGAGGTATCAAGTCGGGTAGGGGACCCTAGAAGAGAATATAAGGCAGCACAGGAGCCAGCTTGGGATCCACACACACTGCAAGATACCTGGACGCTGACTCCAGAACTCCTGCTACTTGGTACCCGGTCTTTCAAGAAGTAGAAGCATGCCTTGGTAGCCAGCCTCCGAAGAGAGAGAAGCTAGAAGTTTTGCAGTGACTGGGACGCTGAATTGCCACTGGTCTTTTCACTGCCATCTCCTGGAAAAGCACCGAAGGCCCCAGGCCTAGTGTCTCACTGTGTGATGTTGGTGTGGGCCAGCATCTCATAAAGGGCTGTTGATTGTATCATCCATCATCACCTTCTGGTGCTGTTGCCTCTGTTGGTGTTTGGTCCAGTGTCCAGGGCTGTTCATCCTGACCTTCAGACTGTTGCTGCAGGTTGCTGCGGGGTCATCTTAGCAGCCCTGCCTGTGAGCACCTCCAGCTGCCACAGGCTCCAAGCCCTCGTTGGTTGGACAGCACCATCTTGGATGAGCAGCCTTTTGTTTGGGACTTCTGTGGACACCATCTAGGGCGAGATAGCCTGCCACTGTGATTTAGTAATGTTTCCCCTGTTTGTTAAATAAATCCCATTATTGTTCCCTCAGCCTAAGTGGTCTTGAAATTGTGTATGCAGGTGAAGAGCCCACAGAACCCGTGCACTACTGGGCACTGTCCTTGGATGACTATAGTACACATGTAGCCCTGCCTCATCACCCTCTGCAACCTATCTAGGACGGCTGCCCATACCCAGTGCACCCCCCGCAGAGCACCTGCTGTTTGGCCTGGCAGTTCAACCCCACCTACCACTGTAGGGCCTGAACAGAGATCAGTACAAGGGAGGCAGCCTGGAGGAATTGAGCTGGAAGGGAAAATAGCTTGAGTTGCGATCAAAGCCCAGCTCCACCCCAACCAGTGAGGCTCCTTCGCCTAGTGGGACCTGAGCAAGGGAAACTCAATGTGCCTATTTCCTTTGGGGTGGTAGGTAAAACAAAGCTACCATCTCAGATTGCTTTGAGGAATAAATGAGTTAATATGAATTAGGGAACACGCAAAACAATGCACTTGGTAAGCGATTGTTGAAGTAAATGCTATGTACATGGAGTCTGGCAGGCAAGGAACAAGTATCAGGCGGGATTCTGCTGGAAAAATCATGTATAACTACCACCTCCATACACCAAAACAGGATTAAAATAATCTATCGAGGAGCACATGGAAAGGCGACTAGCTCAATAAACATCTGCCGCTGACTTCCATATCACTCAACATTGAAGCCAGAAGGGAAGAAGGAGCTCTTCCCTCAGTGACCAGGTGACCCCCTCTTCTCCAAGCTCACCCATCTGGTGTGAAACTTCAGAATGGTATGTCGACAAAATTGCTTAGCCTGAGTTTTTTTAATTCCACTAATGAAATGACATAGGTGGTTCACTGGCAGCATAAAAAGCAGAATTGAAACTCTCAGAATGCATTGCACGTGCCATGGGTATAGTTGTAAGAAACATTTGCCAGTTGTGTTTTTGGGGTGATGGTGTAAAAGGCATTTTCACTGAAGCTCATGGTCAGGACTCTGCCACTACCAGAGCTTATCTTGGTTTCAGCTCCACATCCTGGAGAGCAGGAACAGGTCAATGATGCCTAGAAAATGCTACCTGAGCCACCAGGGGGCGCTCCACACATGAAGCCCTCTGTGAGAGAGGCTCCCTAGTTTTCCCTCAAGAACTGTCAGGCTTGCCCATAGCAAATAGTGGGAGCCACAGCCCTGGGCCCTCTCCACCAGCAAGCCTGGCCTTTCACAAAGGCCCTCCTCAGCTATCCTGTGTGCCTTCCCGGTCCAACTCTCCTCCTTAGGTTATCTGCTCTTCTTCCTTTAGCTGATCCACTTCCTTTGGCCCGAAATGCCCTTTCCTTTAGTCCTTGCTCTCTCCTTTTTCCTTTCTTCCTCCATCCTAAACCTTCTTTTCCACATCCCTTCCTTTTCCAGGACACATACAAACATACACACAATGTTTTTCAGACAATTTTGCCTTCACTTTATTTTTGAAAATAATTCTGTAGCTTCAATTTTCTTCCTTGAATTGAGGTCAGGCAAAAAGCAAAACACACACAATGATCTCCAACCCACCATCTGCATCCCAGTGCGTGCAGATGGGACTGCTTGGAGGAGAGGGGTCGGGGGGAGCCTGGGCAGCGGGCCTGGCTGCTCTATCTCTTACCGAGAGAGCTCTAGGGAGGAGCACCTGCATCAGGCCCCAGGTGAAACAGGTCACAAGGAGCTAATTTCTCTTCCACCAAGTCAGCAAGGAACCCTCTGAGAGCAACAGGGACGGATCCGGGAGAGTCTCTCTGAGGCAGGATGAGGGAGGTGTGCCCCAGCACACCAAGGCTTTCCCCCCACCACCTTTTGCCCCACCGCTGGGGATGAACTGAGGAGAGATCTTGCTTTTCTCCTTCAACTTTTCATCTTAGAATCACGAATTGCTAGGCTGCAGGAAAAGAAGAGATGAAAGGAGGTCAGGGATAGGGAGAGAAGGGAAGAGAGACACGGGCAGGAGGCAGTAAACCCTGACACCTAGCAGCTCCACCCAGCCCGATGACAAAATTATTTTGATTAGTCTCATTTTGGCCACAAATATGTCCCTATCTCACATAAGCCTGCCCCCCTCCATTTGGAAGAAAGTAGGGAAGGGGCAGGTGTAGGAGGAGGTCTCACACCCTAGCTGGAAGAGCCAGGACAGGGAAAAGTGGTCTTGTCAGGTGAGCCACCCTCTTTGCAGAGAAAACCTGGAATGTGGAAGGTGTGGCCTACACAAGCCCAAGTGTTTCTCTACCACACAGTGATTTTCTGCTTAATAACCCCCAGAAAGATTTGAGCCCCTTGAGAACAGGAGAATCACCCTCACCTTATCACATGTGCACTGGAATGCCAGTCAAATAAAAAAGAAAGGAAATAAATGGACCCAAGGGAGTGACAGAGGATGATGCAGCCCAGGGCCTGCGTTTCCTCAGCCCATGGTTTAGCAATAAGGAGTCTGGGAGAGACAGGCGGGTGCCGCTAATTCCAGCTAGGGTCATAGCCCACCCAGGTCTGCGGCGGGGCCAAATGGACCCGGCGGCCCCGGAACAGGAAGCTGACGATGCCCCGGTAGCCAGCTCTGGGGACCCCAGACTTGAGGTCGTCCATGACTCCTAGTGCCTTGGCGAAGGCCTTGAAGCTGTCCCTGCCGGTGTACTGCACCCGCACCTCCCCCAGCTCCTGCCGCTCACTGGTCCTCACTTTCTCCACCTGCAGCAGGGGGGCACCATAGACGCGGGCCAGAAAATCGCGGTCATAGGCCTCCCGGCGCAGGTATGATAGGTCCAGCTGGGTGAAGGATACGAAGTGCTGGTTCAGCTTGATGAACTTGAGGTGCTGGTCAAAGAACTGCCCATGGCTTACACCCCTGCGGCCAAAGGTCATCGTTCTAGAGATCTCAGGCCTCACACAGGCCCGGCCTTGTCGCTGCTCGGGTCTGCGCATCCAGTCATCCCAGAAGGCCTTGGGCCATTTGGGCTCTAGCTCTGCCCAGAGCTCTGCCAACAGCAGCCACCCCAGGCCTGGGAAGAAGTCCGTGCGGTAGAGCAGCTCAGGCTTGCTCGAGTCCACCATCTGCTCCTTGCCGTTGTCATTCCAGGCAGACACACACCACAGGGAGGGATCAGCCCTAAGCAGTGGGTAGGTGGCCTGGAAGTACTCAAAAAAGTCTGGCGCCACCTCCAGGTCGTCCTCCACCACCACAGCTGCGGGGAACTTGAAGTTGTGGAAGACCTGGCCCAGCGCCCAGCGGTAGTGCCTTGCGATCTTATAGTAGCCCTGGAACTTGCGGTGGTCAGGTGGCACTGGGATGGTGCTCAGGTCCGGCTGCCGGATGTGTGTTATGGCGCTGCCATAAGAGGCTATGACCTGCGCAGTCTCCTCGTGCCCACAGTCCTGGCTGACAATGATGGGGAAGCGCTCTGCCGAGGGCCGGTAATGCAGCAGTTTGTCCAGGCAGCGTCGGACAGTGCTGCGGTCACAGGCGATGACAAGGATGGGGATCACGGCTGGTGGCGAGGTCACAGGGACAGGTGGAGCCACAGAGGGCACCCTCCATCGCTGGTTCCACCGCACATGGTGGTCCCTGATCTGCTGCAAGAGCCCCCGCTGCCGCTCCAACTCCACCTCGGCGTCCTGGGCCAGGCGGATCACCTCGCGGGTGAGGCCAGCCGGGTCATCATCCAGAGCGCTGTCTGAGGGCAGCCTGCTTGGTGCTGGGCGCGTCCAGAAGAAGAGTAGCAGCAGTGCGTTCCAGGCCACAAAGAGGATGGCGCCCCACAGCACAAGCCCTGCAGACTGCTTCTTCAGCATCCTGGCCCCCACTGGGGAGGCAGCAAGGGTGGGACTGAGACTGCCCCACAGTTCTAGGGAGGCTTCCTCTAGACTGTGGGATTAGAAAGCAGCCATGTACCTAGAGAGAGAAGACAGAAAACCGATCATCATCACAAAGCCATGTGTGCCCTGCACCGGAGTGGGAAGACAGGAGGGGCCAGTAAGAACAGGTGAAACAGTGCCAGACAGGGGAGGACAGGAGGTTGACTCCAGAGCTCTCAGAAAATAGTCCCCAGATCCAGAGCCAATCTGCACAAGAGATAAGATTAGCACAACATGCCCTTCCTCCAAAATGAGTTCATGAGCCTTCAAAAAGCAGTACGTGTTTGAAAACAAGAGGAAAGTGGTGTTGCTAGAAGAGAGAAAGCAAAGAACTACAACTCCTCTTCCCTGACAGATTTCATTTTCTATGTTCCACTCAGATTTTAGGACTGGGGCTGAGACCATTTGCATCCCATTTTTGAAATCCAACTGCCCAACAATTACTGATTGAAAAACTTTGATATCACATCTGGAGGCTATAGCCAGCACCAGAGGCATTCCCAAGATCAGGAGCAATGACAAGCCACCCACACACAATCTTTGTTGAAAAGATCAGTCAGTGTAACTGGACTACAGAAAACTAATTAAAGCAGAAGTGGAGAAAAAGCAAAACTTTTTTGCTGTGAGAAGAGAATCAATGATAAAAACAACCCAAGAATTGTGCAAGATAGCTGGATATAAAAATTAACATGCAAAAATCAACAGTTCTCATATCCATGAAATAATTCATTAGCAGAAATAATGAATGAGAAATCCCTATTTATAACAGCAATAAAAATGATAAATTATTAAGGAATAAGCTTATCAAGAAATATTCAAAACTGACCTCAACAAAACTCTAATTCTTGGAAGACAAAAGGGTTTAAATACCTCTCATATTTCATCAGGACATTTCAGTATGATCCAAAATTTCAATAAAAACAGTTCTGCATGGAACTAGAAAAACTGACAGGAAAGTTCACATGAAAAAATATGAGATAATATCATCTAAGAAAGTTATGAAAATGATTTATGAAAAGGGAATATTCCTACCAGATATTAAAACACTGAAACTGCAAAGCCTACATAATAAAAATTCTGTGGTGCTGGAATGTATACAACAGATCATCCAGTAGAAGAAAATATAAACTGAAGAAAAAGACCCAATTACACATAAACACATAATAAAAGTGGTATTTAGACTTACTAGAGCACTCCTCCCCCCCAAAAAAAAAGGTCTTATTAATAGTATTCTAACACCTATTCAGCTATTTGGAAAAACAAACTTAGAACTGTTACATAAAAATAACTCCAGGTCAATAGGACATCTAAACACACACACACACAAACTGTACAAGTGATAGAAGAAAACATGGGTGGGGCCTCCCCTGGTGGTGCAGGCAGTTGAGCTCAGTGCTGTGAAGCTGTCTGCATTCTCTGCAGTGTGGGTTTGATCCCGGCCGGCAGGTGAGAATCCCATATGAGACGTGGCAGACCTCTCCTGTCTCTCCCTCTGCTCCCCTCAGCAGTGTATTTCATCAGTCTGCCTGTTCTGTTCCCTGCTCTGTCTCTGGTAAATCCTCTCACCTTCCTGTGCCTCTGGCCTGTACCCCAGTTCTTATATGCATGAATAAATAAATCTTAAAAAAAAAAAAAGAAAGAAAACATGGATAAATCTCAAAATACGCAAAATGTGAAAGACCAAAAAAAGTGCTCAGACACTATGATTTCATTTATACAAATCTCCAGAAAATACAAAGTCATCTATAGTGGCAGGAAGCAGACCTGCTGGAATCTGGGAATGGGGGAGATGTGGGCAATGGGGGAGGTACTACAAAGAGGCATTAGGAAACTTGGATGGAAGAGGATATGCTCATTGTCTTGATTGTGGTGATAAATTTCACGAGCGTATACATATGTCCAAATTTATCAAACCATGTATTTCAAGTATATGTAGTTTACTGTATATCAGTTATTTCTCAATAAAACTTTGTTTTTAAAATGACATCACTGAGTATATATACCACATCTTCTTAATTGAGTCGGTGGTGGAAATTCTATGGGGACTACACCTGAGAAAAGAAAGCAAACATTGTTAAAAAAAAAAAAAAGACTGATGATGTAAAATATATTAGTATCATTAAAAAAATAAAATGATGATATTGAGTCAAATGACAAAACTGGAAGATGGACAGTACATTAAATGTCATGTTGGGGCCTCCCTGATGGCGCAAGGGGTTAACCTGCAACCTATGAAGCAATCCACAGCCACTGCAGCATGAGTTCGATCCCCAGCCAGAGAGATATCCACATGGCACAGCAGACCTCTCCTGACTCGCCCGCTGCTTCCCGCAGCAGTGTATTCAGTAGATCTACCTGTTCTGTTCCCCACTCTGTCTCTGGTGAATCCTTTCACCCCTCGACACCTCTGGCCTGTACCCCAGTTCTTGTATACATAAATAAATTTTTTTTTTTTAAAAATAAATGTCATGTTGACAGATAGCCATACTGTGGTTATGTAAAAGGACTCAGGGGTAGAAGGACAGCCAAGATGCAGCTTCACAGATGGCTCAGAACAAAAATATCACATATGTATGGAGAGAGAGTACACAAATGGAGCAAAATGTTAACAGGCAAACCTGAGTAAAGGGAATATGAGGTTTTTTTTCCCTCTTCATTCTTTTTGTTTTTTTCTTACAACTTTTTTATAAAATTGAAATTATTTTCAAATAAAGCTTCTTTAAAAATCAAATATGGTAAATGTCTCACAGCTCTGACTAGTTTCATCCATCATTTGAGCACATCAGTAAGGGCAACTGGGACAATCCATTTGTCCTGAGTTCAACCCCCTCATTCTGTGAGATATTATTACTTGAAAGAAAATGTACCACACCCTCTAATTCCTTGACAGCTGCCATCCAGACCATGCCACTGGTCTCCCCCAAAGTGTCATGGATAAATCCTCTTGTGCCAGTTGCTCTTTCTGTTACCCTCTGCCTACAACTCAGTTCTGATCCTAACCAAGACCATGCATCCCAGATGTCTTCTCTGTGCTCCTGGGCACATCCAGTACCAAAGCATTGCCTCTGCAGGGCCCCGGAATCTGTCTCTTCTTGGGGAGATAACCCAAGCCCCTGTCAGCGCCACCACCACTTGGTTTCCTCCCAGAAACCATCCACCTCCATAACTCCATAGCAGCACACTTCTCAGAAACCAAGTCTATTTCTGTTTTAATGTGTCATTAAATTCCCATTTTACCAGCACTCACATACATCAGATTTCCTAGATGTGAGCGGGACATATAGATTCCAGGTTCTTCCTCACTCTCCCTCAGACTGTGATCAATGTTGGGAACTTTTTCTCCAATCTTCTGGACAGGAATCCCTATTCCTCAACTTCCTGTCTCCTGACTGGCTGGGAAAAGGCTTTAGGTAGAGAAATGCGGAAGGAGAAGAGACTGCATTCCCACAGAATTGATCTGAGGACTGCCTCTAACTTACCAAAGAGTCACTTCAGACCACCAAGCTCTTAGACTGGTGACAAAACCACAAGGAAACACATCCTATACCTTTAGATGACTTGTGAAAGTGGTCACTCTTCTCCAGACATCAGAATTAGGTGGCCACAACCACTACCAAAGACCCAGAACACCACCACCCTCATCCTAAGTCACGCAGGTGTTAATGGGAAAGTGGTAGGCTGGCCCACAGGAAACAGTTGCCCTAGACCCACCAGGCCGCTACTTTACCCCCAGACTTTAGTTCTCCAGCCAGAACTCTCAAAATTCACAAACAGTGTGTACCTCTTACCATGAAAGAACATGACACCCCTACTCCTGGACCCCATTTCTCCACACTGACTCAACCAGAGTCCCAGTGCTATCTCCTACTGCTTCACATATTCTCCAAGGCAGGAAGCTCTGCTCCACCTGCAAGTTAGTGGTGTGTACACACACACAGCACACTACCTGCTGGCTGAAATGAGATTAGCAGTCCAGAAAGCCAGCCTTCTAGCAGAGCCCATGCACTCCTCCCATAGGCGCTTCTCAGAGTCCTACCATCAGGAGGGTTTGCCAAACAGCCCTTGGCAGTGCTTGCCAGTACCCTACATTTTTTCACCTTTCTGATACAAAACTTTCTCACCTCTAAGATGGAAACCATAATAGAATATCTCACTAGACTGTTGTGAGAACTGGGTGAGATAATGCATGTCAGGTTTAGAACAGTACCTGGCACGTGACAACATAAATGCTAGCCAGTTACTTATTGCTCCCCTCTTTCACTGGCTCTCTTTGCTTTACTCTCCCAGCTACTTTTCAGGGCCATAAACACCCGAGCTGGCCTCAGGGTTTTTGAATGTGCATGTCTGCCTCTTCTGTTTTTCCCTGTCTTTATCTGGTAAGCTTTGATGCACGTCTCTTGTCAGGACACCTTCCCTCATGCCTTTGGACCACATAAGGTCCACTTCCCTTCAAAACCAATGGCACAGCACAACCTCCTGTGCAACACCTGTAGAATCTACCTGAGGATAGGGACCAGCACTATGTTAGCTGCTATGCTAGGCAAAGATTTGCCTGTGACCTAAAAACTGGCTTCCATTTGGATGCCACATACTTACAACCCCTTAACTGTAACTCCCAAATCTTAAAAGCACAGGAAAAAAGTTTGTTTTTTTTTCAATACTCACTTGGCAGTAAAACCTGATCTGATCTCATTTCAAGAAACCTGATCTGATCTAATGTGAAGCTATTTATAGTCTTTATTTATCCCACTTAGTGTGACTTATACATTCTGCTACAGAAATAAACATGTTGGATTGCAGTGTGTTGCTATACTACATTGTAAATGCAGCAGACCATCTTTTTAAAATCCCCCAAATTCTGAAATACATCCAGCCCCAAGAATTTCAGAATTATGAAAATGGAACAGTCATTATTCATTGCCACATCCTCAAACCCTTTAACCTGAACTCTTTCCTTACTTAGGAATACTGCTTTAAGCTTGAACACTTGATGCAGCTTCTCAGCTGGTCTACATATCACTAATCTTGCTTCCCCCT